CGAGAAATAGAAGGGTGAAAACGTTTGATTTATACAAAAGAATTAACCTATAAAGAACATGAAACAGAAACTTCTTAGCGTTGACTCAGATATAAGCCTCAGATAAGCTTTAAATCTGTTAGGTTGAATGCCTCAGATCAGCTTCAAACCTATTAGGTTTTTGAATGTCCATGCCATTTCTTATGACTAAAAAATAGCGCAGAAAAAATATTGCTGTAATATTTTCACCGTACATGGCCCCTTCCATTATCCCCCAAGGAAGTATTTCTACACCCTCTTAGAAGATTTTCAAATTGTCAGAGTTCAGTGTTATTGTGCGATAAGACCTAGTGCTATGGGTTACGCAGGAATAGATGGGTAAAAATCGTAAATTTGCAGGTGATCTAAGGCAGTTGCTCGTTAAACGAGATCTACCCACTCCGATAGTGTAGGATTACTTTAGGCAGACGATAGGGAGTCGGACTACCCTAATCACGTATGAAGCTCCCGACAAGTGGTTTTGAAGCCATTCCAAATTTGGACAAAACCCCTCACGGATTTGTACAGTAACTCAGTACTTCTGAGCTTTGCTGCAATATGTTTCAATTGTTTTTTCTATCAAATTAGTTTCAAATAGAATATATAGATTAATTGGCTTGCTGCGATTTGCAAAATTCGCTTGTTCCTGTTCTTCAACTGAGATGTATACACCTTGCACCTACAGTGTTAAGAAGAATGACTCAATGTCCGTTAGAAAAAGTCGATGGCGACTAGCAGATTGGTAATCTTTTCTACTTTGTAGGCAAGAATACCGTTTTGTTTTTATTTCTAGAATTAATGCGACGCTGGGCATAATACCACAAAAGGCATGTTTGGAGCGCCGTAATATATTGCACATTAGGACGACCAATCGTAGAATGAAACTAATTCCCGTTCCTCCAAAATTTTTTTGCCTTTTTGCTGTGCAGCATCAAAATTCAAAAATTGTTCATGTAGAGCGGACACGCAAAATAAAAATTGGTTCTCAGTTGGAAAACTGCTATGTTGGGAGGAATAGACAACACTGGTTTGGAGGCTAACAGTCGGATGACTTTGTTCATAAGTATTATGGCCTCGTAAAGCCACTACTAAACGCTCAAAATT